ATAGCCCTCAGCAGGCGCCTGCTGGAGTGTCTCCCTGTTGCATGCCAGAAGCCAGAACCTAAGGAGAGGCTTGCTCTCCTCAAGGGGCGGGATGACTGCCACTTCTGAGTCCATCTGGTTTCATTGCAGTGCAGCATTGGATCAGCTATGCAGCATCAGGATAAAAAAAAACAGTATGAGGAAAAACACAAAAGATTTGATTTTTAAGCAAATACACACATCATATTGTTACTACTGAGCATCCATTTTCTCTGATCAAAATCAGTAAAAGCTTCTGGTTTATCTGTTAGGGATACAGAGGTCCATAGTCTCAGGTAACTGAGTGCTGCAAAGGAAGTGTTTCTGTGTTGTAGACAGAACCATTGCCATGCTTTGGCAAAGGTTATGACAGGACCATGGTAATTTTCTAAGCAAAACAACAGATTTCTGTAAATTAAAGAAAAACTGCAGGACACTTCTCATTTCTGTGATGCTCTGCTGATGGTTTGGAATAAGGCTGAGAACACTTCCAAAGCAGATCTCATGATCTCTGATTACAGACAATCACTTACACTCCAAATACTTGAGCGAGCGAAAGACCTTTCGCTGAGGTGTCACACGCTTGATGTTCGGGTGGTCTTCCAGAGTGAGCACTCCATCCTTCTGCTTCTCATGGATCTGAATGACTTCAAAATCGCTGGGGTAGTCACTGGCTGGGTTGTTGCGAGGTACAATCCTCCAGTTCTCAATATCGCTACTTTTTAGCGCGCTCGAAATAAATTTGCTTCTGGCTTTAGCTGTGAAGTATCCATTAAAAGCCACAATATACTCTGCAACAAGAGCACAGCTTATCAGAACTGGTAGCTTACTCATGCATTCACATCACAAAGTCTGACTCTTTATTTAGAGCAAATAACCACAATTTGAGGCACTTTTTAATTGCTTTTAGAAATCTGCAATTTACTTCTCTGCTATATAATGGGGGGAGTGTTGCATCAGGAAACCTGCAAGATGTGATAAAAACCTTTGAAAAGAAGGTAGAATTTTAAGTATCATGGAAGATGAAATGATGGAGCAGGAGCAGGGGAGAGGGAACAGACTTACTGTTACATCCAGCAGTACAAACATCTGCCAATTCAGTGTGTTTAACAGGTAAGGTTTAAGACTCTGCATGGTACTAAGTTTTAGTGCAAATGACTGACTTTCCCAACTATCACACGCTCAGACAATGAAGCCAATCCAACAGTGCAGTCCTTGATGTGCAGCAGTGCTTTGGGAGTGGGCTCAGCCCCAGCACACCCCCCACATTCCCCAGGCACAGCAATGTCACTGCTGCCACCCTCCCTGGAGCACAGCACCATGGGGACATCACAGGGACCTGAGGCAGCAAGGGCAGGCAGGGTCAAGGTGTCCCACTGCTTCCCCTGCCACCTCAGCAGCCACATCTGCCTCACCTGGCCTTTCACCTGCTCCCTGTGCAATTATCTGCACTTTTTCCATGCACATACTATCGCCTCCAAACTTAAGCAAATCCACAGAGACTTCTTGCCTTTGTCACTCCTTCGAGGCCCACTTGTGCAGTTACATTTCATAAAAGAGCCTCAACCACAGCACCAGGTCAAAACAGCTACTGAACACACCAAACTTGCCCACCTGAGCCTTCACACTCCATTTCCACCTTTAACACCCTCTTTATTTCCCTCTCCCTTCCCCTGTTCTTTGAACACAGTATCCAGATAAGCAAAGAACCTCAGAAAAAGTGTTTCTCTTTTTGAATACAGAGAATTTAGCAGATGATTCTTCTGCAGAAACCCTGAATGTTACAACTGCACAACACCACAAATCAGTACCATACACTTGAACTTCACATGGATTTTTTTTTACTGCTTAACTCTTTATTACCATGCTCCACGACTGTCGAGGTGAACTCCACTTTCAGAGTAAGGCGAGAACATCCAGGACAAATGTGAGCCTCCTGAGAGGAATTCCCTAGTCTGGTACCAAAGTGTTTTTTGCCACAGAGTAAAAGAACAACCAGAACAAACCAGATGTTTGCAAACTTCATGGTCATGGAAGAAAATGGTTTCATTCCAAAAATTCCATATATTCAAATCACAATTTTCTTCTTTATAAACTAGTTCATTTTTGTTTCAGTAAACGTTGCTTTCGCTGTGCTGATCAACTGGATATTCTTAAAGCTGGGTCCAGAATAAGTGGAGATTTCATGGTCTTTCCAGGTCAAGCCTAACAAACAGGCTCATTTCTTTCTACGCTTCTTCTCCATTTTGTATTAAATGATTTGGTCACTCAGGATGTGGTAGCTGAGTCCTGTATTCCATTTCTGATGGCAAAGTTAACTCCCTAGAATTAGCAAAGCTGATTGCAAGCCAACCTGTAAGGCAGGGCAATATAGAAAATAATTAGATTGATGTTTGTGCAACTGTATAATCTTAAAACCTAAAAAAAACCCCAAATCACGACACCCTCGGTAGCTCATTTTAGAAATAATCAGGAAAAATGTTCACATGTCATTTAATAATTTTTCAGTAACACTCAAGTCTCTCCCTTGCTCATACCAGAGCAGATGTGGAACACCTGGGTGTTAATCTGACAACAGAACAGTCAACAGCAACAACCAAACTCAACCACACTTTGTGTAAGGGAAGCAAAGAGGAAAAAATCAGATTCAAACTCTATGTCAAGGCCTGGTAAGGACAAGAGACAGAAGAGGAGGTAAACCTGCAGTCCCTGTGCTTGAAAATCGGTATGAAAAAAGTCTTTCAAATTTGTTTGAGCTGGGACATGCATTACTAAACAGGGGCACCCGAGAAAACAAGGGCTGATTACAGAATGCAATAATGTGAAGCTAAAGGAACGTGTTGGAAGTGTTTCCCACCTGGAGGGACAGCCTCTTCCCCTGACGTTCCAAAGTGCACAATGCACTCAGGAAAAATTGCAATGCTAGTATTGTTTTGCATTCCAAACACTTAACCAGCAACTGCTAGATTAAAGGCAATTAAGAGATAAGCAAAGAGAAACATTTATGCCTGGTTTGTCACACCACCCGGAGAAGCAGAGCAGAACTGCACACCGCAGCTGTGACCAGGGCTGGAAAGGAGGGGCTTTATTAGGGGGTTCACACTATTTAGGGGAATGATGGACTGACCTCACAGCACAGCCACAGAAGGAAGCCGGTCTGAATGTGACAGCTGTTGCTTCATTTTTATTTAACTTTATTTAGCATTACTAAGTTTTCCCTTGACTGACAACACCATGACAGGCTGGGGACGGCTTGTGATTATAAAGTTTCCCCTTCATCCCTAAAGTCGACACAGTTACAGCACAGTAGTCTGACTGCTGATCTTGGCCGAGCTTTGCCAGCCTTATCACTTCCCTCGCTTATAACCCTTATGGCAATAAAATAAAACAACCAAACAAATAAGCAAAGCAAATACGCTTAGGGCTGATAACAGGTTGTACGCGAGCACGATGCTGAAGTACGATGGAAACTAAGCACAAGGAACAGCACGCCCACAAGTTCCCTGTCGAACACCCTCCCCGCGAGGGGCCGGACGGGGCTCACCCCTGCCAACCTGCCCGTGCCCCGGACAGCGGCGCCTGGGGTTCGCCGCAGCTCTTCCCGAAGCAGGGGACGGGCACAGGGACCGCGATGGGCTGGGACAGCCTCGGGGGGCACGGCCCTGTGCGTGTGGCCGCGGGTAGCAGACACCGGGAGGCTGTGCCTGTGCCCCGCCGCGAACGGGCGACCCCAGGCGCTGCCGTGCCCGGTGCCGGGGCAGAGCAGCGAGCGCCGGCCGGCACCGACACCGGGCCAAGGGCGAGCTGAACTGAACAGCCGCGGAGAGGCAGCCCCTGAGACGAAGGGGCAGCGAGCCCCGGGAAGGGCGGCGGGCCTGCCGCCCCGCCGCCCCCCGAAGCCCTCAGGGAGCCGAAGCGCCCCGCCCCCTCGCCGTCCTGCTCTCACAGTTTTGTGGCCCTTTGTTCCCCGCCCCGCCCCCGCCCCCCCCCCCCCGCCGGCCCCGCCGCCGATCTTTGGCGCTGTTTATCCATCCGGTCTCTCGCGAGAGCCGCCACCAGGCGCCTGCGCACGGCGCAGTGCCCGCACCGGGCGGAGCCGCTGCGCCCGAGGTGGGGGGGGGGGGACAGCGGGCCGTGAGTGGAGATCGGGAATGGGGGACACGGCGCCGGGTGAGGGTAGATCGGTGAATGCGCGCGGGACAAGCGGGCCGGTGAGGGAGATCGGGTAATCGGGGGGAACACGGGGCCGGGTGAGCGGAGACTCGGGAATGGCGGGACAGCGGCCGGTGAGGAGATGGAATGGGGGACAGCGGGCCGGTGGAGGGAAGATCGGGAAGGGGGACACCAACGGGCAGTGAGGGCGATCGGAATGGGGGACGCGGGCCGGTGAGTTGAGATCGGCAATGGGGGGACACGGGGCCAGTGAGGGAGATCGGGAATGTGGGGACAGCGGGCCGGTGAGGGAGATCGGGAATGTGGGGACACGGGGCTGGGTGAGGGGTCTGGCAGCTCAAGGAACACGTGGGTAGTACCAGAGACGGGGATAGAAATATCCTCCAGCTTCACCTGTCTCAAGGTTCATTTAAGGCCTTGCTAAAGTTACTTGTGTTTAACTCCCCTTTGTAAACGAGCCTAAGTCAGTGTTGGCCACACAACCCCTAGTTTTATACTGCACAAAGCACGAGGTGTTCAGGGCCAGCTGAGGTGGGGTTTGGTTGGTGCAGGCAAACCCCTGTCGTGGGTCCCTGCCCCTGTTCCCCCCAGCCTGCTCCCTGTCTTCACAACTTCTTACAGTCGACTGGGATTGTCTTTTTGAACAGCGTGGTTTCAGGGGGATTTGAAGGACTCTCAAATTCTGTCAGCTTTATAAATGGACATCATGTGAGAGACGGTCACTTACTGTCAGAAATAAAACTGTACCTGCTCCTGCCCAGCTACCTCAATGAGAAAGTGAACAGAGATTAACACCAAGAACATCAGCATTTTGTTGCAGAGGAAAGCACCAGAGGAGCTGTTTAATACAAGGATACAGAAAGGATCCAGACTCCTGCTGTCTAGGTTACAAAGCTTGTTTAACAAGGTCTGGGTAAGTTACAGGAAGTCCTCCGAGGTTCATTACACGTCTCTGCAGCACCGATCAGAGTCTGATCACTGAGCACGCGTCACACAGGACATGTGGGTGCCCCTGTTTCACTTGGGGTGCAGAGCTTGCCGGCGTACGATCCCGCCGAGGTACAGGGCGAGCCGTGCCCACATCCACTCCGGCAGGCGCTCGGCCAGCGCGAACTGTGGAGAGGCACACGGGGAACAGAGCACAGGGACAGGGAGGGACACGTTAGGACACATTCCATTCAACTGCTGCTCAAATCACTACCAAAGCAAGGCAAAACCTGCTTGAGCATCAGCAACTAAGCCTTAAATTCCAGCCCTTGGAAGTTAAGCTATTTAGCCGTTTTGGAAGGAGCACCCACAGCTGAACAGTAAAGTTCTGCAAATAAATCCTAAAGCAGTTTGGACAAGTTCCCAACAGCAGTACTGCCCACTTGGCTTTAATTGCCACATCTTGCCAGAATTCTTCCCATCTCTTTTATTCCCTTTGGACTAAACCCCACTTCTTCACTTCCTTCTATCAACCTCATGGTACAGGAAATCAGTAGGCAGGACACATGAGATGTGACCAATGTGCATAAAACAATCTGCCCCCCAAAAATGAAAACCCTAACAAACGGAGAACCTGCTTCCAGATAAATTAGAACAAAAGCATGGGGGTTTTCCCTGCTATTAATGCATCCTTCCTACCCACTCTTCCCCAACACAGAAATATGCTCAATACATTAAGACTGAAAAAAGCTGTTTCTGTTCACAGAAGACAGTTGGCCAGTCAGCAACACCCCAAGTGAAATGAGATACTCTGTGCCAATTAATAAAAACTTGTCACTTTTCCATTTTTGCAGCACATTTCAAGTGGGAATTGGATTCACTCTCCCATCTTAAAAATAAGCATGCCCAAGCATAATTTTCTAAAGCAGAACTAGTTAGAAAACATGGCACAATGCCTTGAAGTCCTACAATACACATGGCACTTTTTCAGAATATTAGCAGAGTTTTGATTGAGACTCCTAAGAAAGTAAAAATTTGATTTATTTCTACGTGACAAATAGTTGAATGAATATTTCCACATGAAATAGTTGAATGAATTCCATTACCAGTAATTCATGCTTCCAGAAACCAGAGGTCCTTGTGGATAACCCAAGAGTAGAAATAGCATGACTTGCATATTCCTCAGCAGAAGGAAACAAGAAAGATCTCTTGTTCAACCAGCTGTTGAATGCTACCATGTTTGTAGCAATTGTACTTGGGGTTAGACTTTGAACAAAAATTCCTTTTGAGGCATACTCATAATGTATTGCTCTACTGAAATAGTCCAAGTAGATCTAGAAAGACAAAAGCAGAGACATCTTTATTTTTCTTTTTTTTCCCCAAACAATGAAATGTCAGGGCAGAGTCTTATTAAAATTACAGAAAAGTTGTATACTTTATAAATCAGCTCAATAAATAAAAACTTGAATAAACACTATAAAAATATGCACTTTTAAGTGTGTTTCTATGTGTTATTTGTTTGCTATAAACCTGCCACAGTACACTAACTTGCAGGACAAAGTGCTGCTTAACAAAATCTGACAATTTCTGCTTAAAACCAGCACAGAAACGTTTATTTCATCTCAAACAAACACCTTTGGGGTGTTCGGAGGCATTAAAGCCAGCTATGCCCAGTTAGAAGGCCAAAATAAAGTCTCATTCTTTAATACATTTACAGGGGAATTTTGCATTCAACTGCCTTCCCCAGAAGGCAGGTTAGTTACTTCCAGGGACTCCCTTATGAAAATTAATCACTTGTTTATGTGTACCTGTGTTACCTCCTTTAGCTCATTTTACTTTTACAGAATAGCAAAAAAAAAGCACAAGACTGGTAACTGGGACTGCTGGAATCAGACAGAAGGAGCCTGGCTCAGCCTTATCAGGGCAGCACCACTGATGCCAGGCTGCTGCTCCTGCCCTGTCACACAGCCACTACCCCTGAGAACGGGCACTTGAAAGAGCAGCCTGTGAGCAAACGTGTTTCTGCTCCCAAATGGCCTCACAAAAGGCTTTCCCAACAAGGGAAAGCACCTTGTACAAATGCTCTTACAAGTGATTCAGGAAAACTAAAGCAATCACTTCAAATACTGTGCATTGTTAATGCACAAAGAGGCTGAGAACACCAGAGCAGCTTGTTCTCCCTTCTGTGTTCCCAGGCTGGGCTTAAGACTGGATTGCTGATCTAGGAACTGCATTAATGATGCCAGCTAAATAAAGAAACTTTGGTATATTTGGGTTTGTTCCTTCTTTTTCATTCAAGCTTTTTAATTGTCTTAGTTCAGAGTGCAGTTCTACACACACTTAGCATAATCAAGGAGGCAGATACTCTGCACAGAAATGGGAATCCTAAGCCAGTTTCCACACTGAAGAAAATCTTACTGTAAAGAATTTTACACCTTGGTGTAGAGACTGAAATGTTAATGGTTAGTGGCTCAAACAATTTGCAAAAGCAGTGGGTGCTTTGCTGCATGGTAACAGCCCAGGTACAGAGGGTGTAAGGACCAGAGAATGACCACAACAAACCAACTTTTGTTTAGAAACAAGCTGCTTTTTGAGCCAGATAAGGGAAAAGGCCAATAAGAAGCAGATCCAGTGATGTGGATCATGCCAATGTTCTCCCTTACACAACTGGCTCACTGTACATGTGGTACAATGGTGTAAAAAGCCTTCCACCCCTTGGTGTCAGGTGAAGCACTGGCCTGATATGGCCACAGCCCTTGTCACAATGGTGGCTTGAGCATGAGTACAGCCCCTCTAGCTACCAAATACTGGTGTGTAAGAGACTTGAGCTACGTCTGCACAGTTCAGCTGAATGAGAGATTAAATTCTGCCACTCTGCTTTGTGCATCTGAGAAAGGCAACATTTCTCCCAGAATTACTGTTAAGCCACAGTTCACACAAAATCAAAGAGTATTGACTTTGGTTCAAAGCCCAGCACTGGTGAGGATGAAGAGTTTACTGCATAATACATATATCATTCACCACCAATATTTAAACAAATCCCTAGAAAACCTTCAAGTACTTTGATATCCTTGCTGCAAGTGTTTAAAAAAACCCATACCACAACCAAACTATAATGTACTTTCCAGTGCATACCATTAATTACACCCCAACTTACTTTAGAGGCTCCATAGGTTGTTACCAGTGGTGTTGGCTGACTACAGAATACAGAAGAAATGTTCACAATTGCCCCTTTCTTCTTCTTTACCATACCTGGCAGCACAATATGTGTCATCATGTTAGCAGAGGCAATATTGGTATGGATTGTGTCCCACAGCATATCCTCAGACAGATCAGTATAATAGTTCGCGTAGCCAGCAAACATTCCCACATTATTCACCAAAATCCCAATTTCTCTGTCTTTCAGAGCCTCCTTAATGGCTGGGTAAGGCTCACGCCCCTTGCTGAAATCAGCTACAATGAACTCTGTCTCCACGTTGTAGGTCTCAGCTATGCTCCTGGACACGGCCTCCAGCTTCTCCTTGTTCCTGCTGACCAGGATGATGTTGACTCCCCGCTTTGCCAGTTCTTGGGCGTACGCCTTCCCGATGCCATCCGTGCTGCCTGCCAGGGAGAACAACAACAGGATGAACAAGGTGAGAAACAGAGCAACCCCAGCCTTCTCTTTGACAGTTCTTTCAATTATAGCTCTAGTCCCTTTTCTGAGATCATGTGGCGCTGAAGATGTTGATTTCAAAGCCACAACATTAAAGACAACGTTGTCAGTAGCCACCTTCTGCAATCCCCCTCACACAAGTTTTATAGTTTCTATGACAAGAGAGAGCTCAAAGCAGAACCTTAATGACAGGCAGAGATGTCAAGAGGTAGAGGACTCGAACTGTGTTGAAGGACTAGAGCACATATGAAAACATCATAGCAAAAAAAGGATCTCGTCTGCATCTCTGTCTACACTTGCAGGTGTTCATGGTGTACCTTGTAAATTTTGGGGGAAAATTGCTGTAATTCCTTCTCAGCAGTCAGTAAATCCCTTAGCTTGTCCATATCCTGAGGAACTGAATCTAGTAAGGCAATGAGCAACTGCCACTCGAGCAGATTAACCTGCAACCAGAGGTAATACAGGCCCCAGGTTGTGACATAAAGCTCACCCAGCAGCACAAGCTATAAGTCTCACAGTACTGGCACAGTATGTCACATAAACATAGGCAAATATGAGACTTCCTCTCTTACCAGTGACCACAGCCCACTGTCCATACTGCCTGACGAGATCAACCTCCCCGCCCAGCCTGGGGATGACGTGCAGCCGCAGCATGCTGTAAGTGCCACACGCCAGAGACACACACTTTCTGACTGTGTACCAGGCTCCAACAAGAGCCAGGGCCTCCATGTAGAAACTGCAGGAACGACTGATTTCCCTGTACAAGAGGGAGAAATGATCCACTGCTGCCATGGTGATTACAAGCCTGGAAAAAAGAGAGATACAGGCAATTACAACCGGCTCTTGGGCCATGTAAACTTTTCAGACTGAATGGATAACCTTTGAGATTCAGCATGTTACAGTCTGATCAGTGTTTTGATACAGAAAACCCACAAGTCAGCCTGCTAAAACTTGGGTATCACCTACCATCATCCTCACTGATATAGGTACTGTTTAGCCCTTGTTCTAGGGTTCAGTTATTAATCAGTTATACTGCAATGACACTGACCAACAACACCGCAAACAAAACTATTCAAGCAGGAGAAGCCCAACATGTCAAAACTAATTTTGGAAGATGAAGAACTTCCTGTAAGAGAGGCAAGGATGATCAGCAGGACAGAGCTGAGACGCAAAGAAACAACGGGCTCTTTCAAGGCCGAAAAGCTACACGGGAGAGAACGCAAGCCCTGAGGCAGAACTTCATTCCCACCGCATCTCCCGCCGCCCCCGAACCAGGGC